GTCTTTTGAAAGGTCACTATAACCCATGACTCATTGCCATCTAGTCAATTCCAACTCACAGTGATACTATAGAACAGAGTGGGAACTATCCCATAGGATTTCCAAGGCTGATGTGGCACTGTAAGATAAGCACTGGACTGCTAACAGCAAGGTCAGTGGTTCAAACCCACCCACCAGTCACTCCTCAGAAACCCTATTCAGGGTGGCTGTGTGTCGAAACCTTAACAACAACAACAACAACAGCAAAAACCTTTATGAAAAGAGCCTTCGTGGTATAGTGGATTCAGAATTGGACTGCTAACTAGATTCAGAATTGGACTGCAGTCGCTCTCAGAGTCTGCTCCTGTCAAGATTTACAGCCTCGGAAACTCTAGGAAGCAGTTCTACTCTGTCCTATAGGTTGAGTTGCAATCCACTTGGTGTCAGTGGGTTTGGCTTCTGGTTTAGAATCTTTATGGAAAGGAACCCTCGTTAAGTGTTGTTGCTGATAACTAAAAGGTTGGTTGTTCAAATCCATCAGCTACTCCACACAAAAAAGATGTGGCAGTTGACTTCCATAAAAATTTATTTTGAAACCCTACAGGCCAATTCTACTCTGTCTTATGGCATCTCTATGAATCGGAATTAAGGAGCTCTGGTAGCGTAGTGGTTACAAGTCAGGCTGCTAACCTCAAGGTCAGCAGTTTGAAACTAGCAGCCATTCCATGGGAGAAAGATGAGGCTTTCTGCTGCCGTAAAGGTTGACAGCATCAGAAACCCTGTACAGGGTGGCTATGAGTCAGAACCAACTCCACGGCATATCACCACCACCATGAATTGGAATTAACACAACCACAGGAATCTTTACAGAAGCAGACTGACACATTTTCTCCCACTGGTGGGTTTGAAGCACCAACCTTGGGTTTAGCCATCAAGTGATAATGTACTACCACAGACAGCTCCTTCTAAAAGATCCCGGCCTTGAAAAACCAATGAGGTGTCATTCTGCTCTGTACACAGTTGCCAGTAAGTTAGAAAGATTCTATGGCAACTTTTATTTGTTGTTGTTCCCTGACTCTAAGTCTGGTATGTTACAACCTCCTATTTAAATCAAGTTTCTGGTCCATTTTTATTTTGTATTTATTTTCGGTGTTGATAGAAAGAAAAAAGTGGTTCTATTTTGGATGCTGTGTCTTTTAGCTTATAAAGATTGAGGACTATTTTATATTTATTGTAAGCTTTTACTTTTTTCTATATGAATCTTATAGTTCCTGGAATGACTATTGCTGCCTCTGCTTTTCCTTTTCTTTTTACCTGTCCCCTTTGTGAGCACCTGTCATCTGATGGTTTGTCTTTCACTTCAGCTTAGGAGTATCTCTGGTTAATCTGCACCAAAGAGTTATTTTTCTAACTTCTGGCCTAACCTTGTCTTGGTAAGAGACCTGGTCTGACATCAACTTAACCCTGTCACACATACGTTCACCTTCCCTGCCTCTGCTGTCTATTGGGCGTGTTCTTTCTTTCTGGAATGCTTCTGTTTTCCCTATTGTCTTTTACCACATGGATTTATATTTTCTTTTTGTGAATGTGAGTGTGCATGTGTGTGTGTGAGAGAGAGACAGAGACTTAGGAGGCATTTGTTGTTGTTGTTAAGTGCCATCGAGTCGGGTCCGACCCATAGCGACCCTGTACAGGGTTTCCAAGGGTGTAAATCTTTACGGGAGTAGAAAGCCTCATCTTTCTCCCGCGGAGTGGCTGGTAGTTTCGAACCGCTGACCTTAAGGTTCGCAGCCCGATTCGTAACCACTACGCTACCAGAGCATACATTTGATTTTTATTCTAGTGCTACTTTCAGGTTTTCAGACTTGGGTGTTTAAAGCTTCATTCCCCCGGCGATGTGATGCTTGTTAGCTTTGTGCGTTTGGTGCTGAGAAGTTCTTATGGGAGGGTGACGTGGCTCTGCCACACAGGAGACTTGGTGACGCTCCACCTCCACTTCCTGTAGTTCTGCTTGGTTTTGCCAGTGCTACCCAGGGCAAGGTTAAGGTCAGAGGGCATCTCTGGCTTCTTAGTGAGGGAACCCAACATTAGACAGTAAACCCAGCAGCAGCCTGGGGATGGGAGGATGATAGGGAAGGTGCCTACGACTCAGGCAACAGATAGCACCTGGGATGACCTTCAGGGTAGCAGGAGGTACAGTCCCCTGCCTCTAGACCTCAGCATAGCAGGGCTGGCCTTAGATGGCCTGGGAGGAGCCTGGCTATATACTTCCCCTCTCTCCCTCCTTTCTCTGCCTATTCCTGTGGACCCAGCCCTGGAACCAGAAGACTACCCCCAATTGGCCTACTCTTGTACCAGGTGTTTGGTGCCAGGCAGTGATTAAATCCCATATATGTGGTGGACTAACAGCCCCCCAGTACTGTGGACAAGCCCTATGATTACCTCCAGCGTGTAAAGAGAAACTGAGGCAGATGGTGCCGTGACCACCCAGCTGTCCTACATTGTCTTGCGGGGGGTGAGGGGACAGGCTCCAGTACACTCAGATCTGCTTGGCAAATGCCTAGAGACCTTGGTTTCAAGACCTACAAAGGCCCCAAGTCCCTGAGGAGCATTTCTGACTGCTAGATATGTCCACTTCTGACCCACTGCCCACTGGAGCCCTGGCAGGAGGGCCTGGCTGACTGTGGCCTGTGCATTGTCCACACAGTTTCCCGACTCCAAGACCATACCAGTGAGGGAGGGAACATAGCACTGACCCCCGTCCTCTGTGGGAGCTCAGCCTCTGCCCACTGCCTTTCATCACCAGAACCGTCATTTGTGTGGGCATCCAGACCCCTGCCCAGCTATAGAGTGGGAGACGGAGCCTCACTCCTCTCAACAATCCCCACCTGTGCCCCCCGGGGCCTGTCAGCCTCCAAATGCTTGATTGGGGAAAAGCTCTGGAGATAGATGTGGATAGCACCCCCGGCCTGCTTTCTGTGAGCAAGGTCAGGGCCTGTGGTCTGTGGGTTGGTCTTATCTTAACCAACATGTCTCTCTTTCCCTCTGTGGACAAGGTGTCATAATCAGGGGACCCGGTCTGCATCCTGCTGCTGCTCTACCCCTATTTCCCCTCTAAAAATGTGTTGCTGTTGTTAGCTGCAGTTGAGTTGATTCTGGCTCATGGCCACCCCATATGTGTCATAGTAGAACTATGCTCTATAGGGTTTTCTTGGCTGTAACCTTTGTAGAAGCGGATCACCAGACCTGTGACCTGCTGGTCATTATGGGAGTTTGCAAGATGGAAGGGGGACTGTGCAGTTGTACAGGCCAAGACAGAGCATGAGTTGTTTTGGGTTTTTTAATACAGAACTGAAGTGCTAATGGACTTGTTAGCCCACATGCATGGTTGTGGTGTCATGAGGAGAGGCATCTCCCCTCCCTCCCCACCCTCACTACTTGGAGCTTGCTGGTATCTCAGAAAGGAAGGTTGTCCTGAGGCCAACAGACCTCGCACACACAGTAGGTGCCAAGATGTGAGTCCTAGAACTGCACTGTGTCTAGGCAGAAGGTGGCCCTTTAGGTCAACTGTGGGGTCTGTGGCCCTGACTTGTGACCCGAAGACAATCCAGCCAGATAACTTTGAAAGAGTTGGGGCTGGCACAAGACAGAGCCCTGTGTCCCAAAGACAGGTTTCCATCAACTGCGTGGACTGAGGACTTTGCTCCCACCCTTCCTGTGTGACCTAGGAAGTCAGATAAGGAGCAAGGAGTCCCCAGAGTGGCTTCTGCTTTCAGTCTCCAAAAAGGAACGACCAGGGGTTCTCTTTTGACATCTCTGGGTCTAGATTGCAACCTTGGCAAGGAGCAGAGAATGCTCAGCTCCAAACAGAAACTGGGGATAGGTGGGGACTCTGGCTATTCCTCCTCCACCTCAGCACCCCACCTCAAATGCATCAGTCCCTGAAGGAGAAAGGGTGAGAAGTAGCCCAGTGCGATCATGCAAATCCCGATGGCAAGAGGTCTGGACCTCTGCTAGCCTGTGCCTCACCCCCAGTCTTAGACTCCAGGGTGGTCTATGGGAGGAGACCAAGTGCCCCAGGAGGCTGAGCTCAGAGGAGCTGGTATTGCCAACTAATGTGTGCTGGCCCTTTTATTGTGAAGAAACTGTAATAAAATGTTACTTCCTGCACATTTCTCAGCAACCTCACCCCTTGTGGGTGTCAGATTAAAAGATCAGCAACCAATTACGTTCTCACATCAACACCTGTGAACCTGAGGAGTTAAAGCTGCCTCCCTTGACCCTGACCAGGTGACCTGTGCCCCTCCCAGGAGCTGAGTTGGGGCAGCCCTCACCTGTGCCCCTCCAAAGTCTAGGTTGGGGCAGCCCTCACCTCAGCACACAGGCCACAGGCACTGCAAGGTGGGAGATGCAGAGGTCACCCTGGCAAGCCCCTGCTCTCCAGTAAGGCAGGGTGTTAGGAAGGCACCCTTCTGGGCTTGAGACCTGTGTTATCCTGCCCTTGGGGACTTCCGGACGGCAGGTAATAATAAAACTGGCCTCTGCTGCTGAAACCTGGTTAGTGCATCCACAGTGAGGCCTGGGAGCTAGGGGCCAGAGAAGGTCTGTGGAGCTCTCAGCAGGACATCTGGAATGCTCATTCAGCATTGTAGGGCACAGTTCTGGCACTCAGTGAGGTTTATTGTCTTCCCAGGCCCAGCTCTGACTTCTGCTGAGGAGCCTGGACTCAATCCTCAAGTCCCTAGAGTTGGAACTCACGGGGTATATCAGGGCCACAGCCAGCCTGACTTGCTGCTCGGCTGATTTGTGAGCTGCTGGCAGGAAACTTATTTGTCCTTCCTCAAGACCCATTCCCTTGCATAGGGTTGGAGCTAGTCCATTTCTGTCCCAGTATGAACTCCACAGACACCCTAGATCACCCAAGTTGTTCTCAGGTGCCTTGGGGCATGAAGGAGCGACTGTCTGATGCTGTGGCCCTGAGATCCAGTTCCTGTCACCAAAACCCTTTCCCTTCACAGGTCATGCCGGGTCGGCGCACCCTGCTGCTCACACTGGTGGGGATGCTCTCCCTTGAGTCTGGTGAGTTCTTGAGTGGGAAGAATGGGACCCTCTGAACAAGGTCCCGAGGGAAGCTTGGGAAGTCTATGCTGCTGGGAGCACCTTTCAGACTAGAACCTCAGGCTCCTCACATGTCTAGAGTGCTGATGTTCCCCAAGCCTTAGCTCTGCACCACCATTCAGGGCTCCTCCCGTAAGACCCCTCCCCATGAGCTCACCCATGCTGCCCCCCTTCAATCCTTCTCAGCCTCCCACCAAGCCTCCTCCCCCCACACCTTCTGCTGGGGACTTGGTTCCAGACAAAACATGGTGTCTCATTCCCTGTACCCACATGGCTTTAAATTCTACATTTCCACTTCAAATTTGCACCTCTGTTCCCAACTCCCTTGAGTGTGATAAGACACCACTAATGCTTACGGGCATCTCTGCAAGTACATCACACCCAAAACAGACCTTTGGTGCCTGGCCCCAAATACCTAGTTCCCCTTCCCTGGCACCTCCCATGTCCTCCCAAGTCCTCATGCCTTGGATCCACCTCATTGGTGAGTCTGCCAAAGTCTGCCAGCTCCACTGTCCACACCTGCCCAGAATCCCATGCCTTCTACTACCTTGGCCTCCACCTCCATGCCGCACCCCAGCACTATCTGTCCCTGGATACTGTAATACCCCTTGTGTGTTCCACCAGTAGCCAAGGGACCCTCTTTGAAACAAAGAGGCCATCAAGAACATCCCTACTGGAAGCCCTCAGTCTTTCCAAATCCCACTCTAGAGTTCCCACCTGGGTCTGTAAGCCGGCTTCTGTTTCTGTTCCCCAGCCTAGTTTCTTATGCTCGCCCCACTGTGCCCACCTCTGTTCTTCCTTGTAGATGGGTTTATGAATGGTTTGTTCATAGCAATGTTTGAATCCCCTGTTTGCTGCATTGGGTCAACCAGCTTGTAGCAGTGAGAGCTTGCCTTCCCTCCTTCCTTCTCCCATTTGCTGTGAACTTGGGCCACTGCTCACTGGCCTATCTGTTCTCTAGTTATACTCCAGGAGTGTACCAAGTTCAAGGTCAGCACCTGCCGGGAGTGCATAGAGGTGGGGCCCGGCTGTGCCTGGTGCCAGAAGCTGGTAAGAACTGTACAGTTTGGGGGGGTGGGGGAAGGGGGAGAGGTACTTAGAGAATGGTAAATATCCTGTTTCCTGTCAAACATGTATCCACCAATGTTAGCATCCACTGATGATTTTTCCTGAGTTGGTTATTACTATGATGCCTGCAAAATGGTGTTGTTCTAATGCCTTAAATCTTCCTAGTTTTAATAATTGGAATTCAACATAAGGCACATTGAAAGAAGCCTTGGTAGCATAGTGGGTTATGGCTTGGGCCACTCACTATCTGCAAGGTCAGCAGTTCAAACCTACCAACCGTTCCACAGGAGAAAGATGAGGCTTTCTGCTTACATAAAGATTTACAGCCTCTGAAACCCTGTACAGGGTGGCTAAGATTTGACAACACACATCTACCACCACAACCATAAAGAATATTATATAATATTATATTCACTATGGCTGTACAAGAAGCACTGGACTGTGTACCACAAGGTCAGTGGTTGGAGCCCACCAGCTGCTCTGTGGGAAAAAGATGAGGTTTTCTGCTCCTGCAAAGATTTATAGCAGGGATGGGGAACATCTGGCTGCTGGCTATATAAAGCAAAATTATGTGGTCTGGTCCTGCGAAGGCAACCACAATTCTAGCCATCACAGGAGTGCTTTAATTAAAGTTTGACCAAAAATAGCAGGCTAATTTTTAAGTTGATCATTTTGTAGGTCCTGTAAGTGACGTTATAAATTTTGGCAGTAAAAAGGTTCCCCACCTTTGACTAACAGCCTCAGAAACCCTATACAGGGTTCTCAGTGTCAGAACGGACTCAGTAGCACTTAACACCATCAATGACATATATTGAACATACATACCCTCCCTTAGATATGACTGGCCACCTCTTGGCCATCTCTTTTCTCCTGCCTGTCAATACCTAGGGTTTCTATGGGGCAAAGTGGTCAAGAGGAATGAACCCTGCACCCAGGACCCCATACATCCCCCTCAGTTTCATTGCTCCTCTAAGCTTTGATGAGTTTGGTCAGGGATGGAGTGCAATAGGAATTGAGACAGAGGAGAAGAAAGAATCTCCTTCCTCACTACTATGAGTGTGGTCCCTTGGACTTTTATTTTATTCAATAGGTTAGAACCCATCACTATCATTGTTTGATTCTGATGCTCAGATTTGGCAACTGGGGTCCCTGGAGGTCTGGGAGGTGGGTGTCTGTCCAGTTGGGCAAGACTGGTCACTGGCCCCTGAGGGTCAGCTCGTGCCACACCCATGGTGACATCAGGGTGACTTTCTTTGCCTTCGTCCTGACACTTTTGCCCCCATCCCCAGAACTTCACTGGGCCAGGGGAGCCTGACTCCGTCCGTTGTGACACCAGGGAGCAGCTGCTGTTGAAAGGTTGTGCATCTGATGACATCATGAATCCCCAAAGTCTCGTTGAGGTCCAGAAGAACCGGGCGGGGGACCGCAAGCAACTGTCCCCACAGAGTGTGACGCTTTACTTGAGGCCAGGTGGGTTGACCTCAGCGGGCTGGGCCCAATGCCCTGTGTGTACTGTTCTAGGATCTGGGCAGGCTCAGCCCTGCTTTGGGGTCATTGGCATGTGCTGGGTAGGACTGACTGTAAAGTGGGCCAGGTGAGGCCACAGGAAGCTAGGCCTGAGTATTGGTACACACTTGAGAACAAAGTCTGAATCCACCATGGCCCACTCACTCCCCAGCCACCAGTGTATTCCCCTCCACTGTCTGCTTGGACTTGCTTATGTGAGACATGGTCCCCCCAAAAATCAACCCATTGTTATTGTGAGACATGGTCCCCAAAAAATCAACCCATTGTTATTTGGTTGATTTTTGACTTGTGGCTACCCCAAGTGTTACAGAGAGCCAAGCTTAGTTCCACACAACTGTCTTGGCTGTTCTCTTTACAGAAGCACATCACCAGACCTTTTTTCTGTGGTACTCCGTGTAGGTCTTAACCAATAATCACCCAGAGATCTTACATTTGGGACATTAATTCAAAAAAGGTCCATGGGTGGTGCAAATTGCCCTCAATTACTAACCTATAGGAACCAACTCCATGGCACATAACAACAACAACAACTAACCTATGGAGTCCTGGTGTGGCGCTGTGTATTAATGCACCAGACTACACAAAGTTGTTTGAACTGCAAGGTCGGAGGTTCAAGTTCACCACACCTTGGAAACGTTATACAGGATCACTATGGGTTGGAATTGACTCAAAGACATTTAACAACAACAAACAACCTAAGGCTTAGAAGTTTGAACCCACAGTGATACCAAGAAAGAAAGTTCTGGCAAGCTGCATAAAAACCTACACACAGCTAAAAAACTCAGTGGAGGAGTGTACTTTTTAACACCTGGGGTCACTATGAGTCATAATTGACTCAACAGTAAGGTGTTTAGTTTGGGGTTTTATGCCAGAAAAACAGTCAGAGCTATTTGCATGAAACCCAAACCTCACTGGGCATCTGTACCTTACCTGCAACCCCGTGCCAGGTGGTGATGAAATGAGACAGTCCTAGGATCTCAGGACTTCTGAAGAGTGGGTGTTGGGCCAATCTAGTCTGTACCTAGCCCCCCAGTGCCTGTGCTCCATACCTCCAGGGACTGCTCACTCCTGTCCTTTCCCCGGCAGGCCAGGCTGCCAAGTTCAATGTGACCTTCCGGCGAGCTGAGGGATACCCCATTGACCTGTACTACCTGATGGACCTCTCCTATTCCATGGTCGATGATCTCATCAATGTCAAGAAGCTGGGAGGCGACCTGCTCAGGGCCCTCAATGAGATCACGGAGTCAGGTCGCATCGGTGAGGTCGGGCCAGCCAGGCCACCAGCTCAGTCCTTCCCCACCCCTTTGTATGTGCAGGTGCTGGGTCACTGGGCACCTCTGAGCTCAATATCCACAGGGAAGTGGGGTCTGCAATGTCACACCAGGTCACCAGCTCCCTGAAACTTGCTGATATTGTCCAGTCCGTCCACCTTCTCTTCCCCTTCTCCCGCTCCTTTTACTTATTCTTGATATTGCTAAATCACAAAAGTCTTCCATGCTAACTAACTATTGAAACATTAAAGAATACAAAATCATATCAATTACACAGAGTTAAAGAAAGAGTAATGCAAACCCTTCATGGCTCCTTCTCTGCCCAGCTGAAGGGGCTGAATGTACCGGCCCCTTACAAAAACAAAGACATGCACTCCTACACACAGGAATGAACACTCTCACATATGCACACACATTAATGCACACTCATGCTCCCACATGGGCATGCTCACACACATGCTTGCACACTCCCATGCACACACACTATCTCACACAGCATCTTGCTTTCTCCCCTGCCCTGTTAAGACCCCTGCTTACCTCTGCCTGCCTTCACCTCCAAAAGGCTGCCCACCTAACCTGCCTCCTGTTGCGTATCCCTGCCACATACCACACACCTCTGCCTCAGATTGTGTGTCCCCACCCCATACCACATGTCTGTCTTCATACTATGCCCACATATCACACTGGGTGCCCTGCCTCATACATACTGCATGTCCTTGCATCATACTGTGTCCCCCCATATCATACCCAGTGGCCTCCCTCACACTATGTGTCTCTTTCATGCATTGTGTGCCCTCTCAGACCACATGGCCTCTTACACTGTCCTTCTCACACACCACATGTCCCTTCTCATACTGCATTCCCTCACACTGTATGTCCCCTCTCACACCATGTGTTCCCTGTCACACCATGTCCCTTCTCACGCTGTGTAAACCTCAGGTTTTGGCTCCTTTGTGGACAAGACGGTACTGCCCTTTGTCAACACACATCCTGAGAAGCTGAAAAACCCATGTCCCAACAAGCAGAAGGACTGCCAGCCCCCGTTCGCCTTCCGACACGTGCTGAAACTAACCAACAACTCCAACCAGTTCCAGACAGAGGTTGGAAAACAACTGATTTCTGGGAACCTGGACGCTCCAGAGGGTGGTCTGGATGCCATGATGCAAGTGGCTGCATGCCCGGTAAGTCTCCCCACCACTCAGGTCTCTAATTCCTCCAACAGGGACCCTTGATGGCAGTTCTGGGTCACTAGCAGTGCCCAGAGCATCCTCTTAGGGACTCTGACCATTGTACTCACCTTCTCCAGCCTGGACCCTAAAACTGCTCCTGAGAGTGAGAGAATGAAGGTGACAGTGGGGGTACCCATATATCATCTACAGACTTAATTACAAACCACAAATTAAACTTGGGATGCAGAAAAGTCTCTTGAAGCCTAAATATGCAGCAAATGATCACCTGGGAAGCCAGGTCCCCTCCTCCTCCAGGTGACCCCCAATGACAAGGGGCATCCTCACTGCTCCTGCTCAACTCCCCTCTATGGTCCCATCCATGCGCTTCCTTACTTCTCCCACATCTTTCTGCCACACTTTTTCTTCCATCTGTGGTATTTATATCTCCATTGTTGCAATAGACCACCTGCCCAGTGTGTGACTCAGGAGCAAACTTGCCACTATAACAAACCAGTAGGTTCTCAGCTTCTCTGCCACTCCCTGGGAACTTTGTAATCATATTATAGATACATCTTTAAATGTTTTTATAATATGATGGGTGTGCTGCTAAACATAACATTTGTTCAGCCGAATATTCCAGGACACTTGAACCACCAGTTATAGTATTGCTTAGGTTATTGCGGAGGTTATGTAATATCTGATTTTGTATTTGCAATGTTTTACATTGTAATAAACATTTCTGAATATATATCTTTTCTTATTTTTATATTTTTTCTTTTTTGGGATTATTTCCTTGGGTTTTATTCCCAGGTCTGAAATTTTGGGACACTAAGGAGAATGTGGCGCTGTGGGTTATTGCGCCAGACTGCAAAGCCATTTGAACTGCAAGGAGTGTGGCGCTGTGGGTTAATGCACCAGACTGCAAAGGCAGTTGAACTGCAAGGTCGGCAGTTCAAGCTCACCAGCTGCTCCTCGGAAACCCTATGCAGGGTCGCTACGGGTCGGAATTGACTCGACGGCACTTGACAACAACAACAAGGAGAATATGGAGTCCTAGCGTAGCACTATGGGCTAATAAACTGAACTGCAAAGTCATTTGAACCACATGGTTGGTGGTTCAAG